CCAGATCCTCCCCAAGGGAAAAAAGAAAAAAAATGCTCCTCCACATTTCCTTCTCACATCACACTGCTCTTCCTTTGATGGTCTCCATTGTTCCAAATTGGGTTTCTGCTTTCTTCGAAGTTTTACTTTAAAAGCCAAGGTCCCATGGTAGCAGATCTTTCCCTCACCCCTCTTGCCTGCCTTTCTTCCCTGATTTTCAGTGCAGAATGCAAATAGCTTGTCAGGTGGTGTTATGGTTAAAGTTAAAAACAAAAGAAAAAACCTGTCACGCTGCTAATGTTGTTTTCTTGTTATTATACCTTCTGGTGTGATAGATCCACAGGGTAACTAACACTGTCTGGATCGCTTCCTTTTACTGCTGATTTATTCTAACAGGTTATTTGCTGCCTTTTGCCTAGGACAGCTGGAGAGATGTGCAACATACTCATTCTCTCTTCTTTTTCCTTGTTGAAACAATTGTGCTTCTATTCTATTTTGGTAGGGTCTCCTGAGCAGTTCTTGAAACTTTGATGGTCACCACCAAGCTGCCTGAACACCTCTGGCTCACCTTGAATGAGATTCAAGCTCACACCCTGCTCCATGCTTAGTGTAAGTTTCAGCACTATAATAATACAACAGAGGAAAAAAGAAAGTCTATTTTCAAACACTCTTTTAAATAAACAAGGGCTCCTCTCTACCCCTCACCTCAGCCCACATTCACAAACAAGCAACAGATGCCATCGATTCACTTTGTACCTGAGCTTTTGATCTGGCTGCTCTTTGATTTTCGCTGCTCACTTTTGACAAGGAAGGGAATAAGAGCCCAATTTCTGTGACGTTAATAGAAGCTTTTCTGCTGCAGTAATTTATTTGTGTTTTGCTAATAACTTTGTGCTGATCTGTGTAGATTCTTGGTGACAGACAGGGAGAACAGGACAGTGTGACAGAACATGCTTGCCATCAGCATGAAAGGTTTGCCATGAGCCTGTGGTGCAGTGGGACTGAGCAGAGCACCTGGGTTCAGGCTGGGAGAAAGCATAGCAGGCATCACCTCCACAGCTGAAATGAGAAGACTTCTTTTAACGCCTTTCAGGCAGCTGGTAAGAACAAGGGAAAACCATCTCTAAGAGGCTTATGTACAAAACAGTACCAAAAAGAGCAAGCCAAAGACACTGGAGGCGGGCGAAAGGGATGTCAGTGTGTTAGCAGCTCCACCCTGTTGGTGCTCCTCTGGGATACTGTTGGAGCGTGAGGCAGATAAAAGCCTCTGCAGCCATTTTAATGCAAATCAACAGTGTAAGACATAACTCGGTACTTCATGTTCCTGGTTCCCACAAGGACACTCTCTAAGTGTGGCCTGGGAGCTCCCTGCTTCCTCACACAGCAGCAGCTCTGCCCTCTCAGCACCACAAAGGATGAGGGGCAGGGAAGGGCTCAGGGCACCCAGCTGTGCACACCAGCAGCAAAACAGAAGCAGCTCTGTAGCATCAGGACCAGGCCATGTGTCCTTACTCAACAACCTGCCATCACTTGGGGTCCTCCATCCCAGCAGCACCAGCACAGCTGGGGGCTTTCCTGCCAGCTCGCACAATGAAAACAACATCTGAATAGCTGAAATACGTTCCCAGTGGTTACAGTGGAAAGACACCGTCATATAGGCATCAGAAAACATGCACCATGCTGCCCGAGCTCCATCCCCACTGCAGTGAGGCCGGTGTGCTCCTGTTGGCCGTCGGCGGCCCCGTGGCATGGATTGCAACATAAGAGCAGCAGGGCCCCGGCTGGCGGGAGGTGTGACAAATCGTTGGCAGAGCACAGAACCAATTTTAAACCACAGAAAGCAATTTTAAAATCAGCAACAGGCAGCTGACAGCTCTGAAAAGAGCCTCCTCGTCATTCGTGAGTCTTTACGATGCTCTGCGAGGGCGGACGCGGGAGTTTGGGAGCAGCGGCGCGATGGGAACGTTCTGTTCAGCAGGAGGATGTGAGACAAGCCCCAAAGCTTATCACTGATCCAAACATTGTTCGGGTGTATGCGACCGCTGTGGTTTTCCTTCCAGCTGGGAAAACTTTGTATGGTTACTCATGTAAAACTAAGCTTGATGTGACATTAAGATTCTAGAAAATTATGCCTGGAGATGAGGAAATAAAGTGAACTCTGAGTAGCGACTAAGCCTGTATTGATTTTTATGTGTACGTTTCTCTGTCATTGTTACCGAGCTGGTGACACTGTGAAGGGCACAATTATTTATGTTCCATCAAATTAGTAAGTAATTCAAATCCCTGACGAAATTTCAAGCAAAAAACGCTTTCACTTTTCACAGAAAGTCCTTCTGACACTTAAATTGTCCTCTTACCCCTGGAAGGGCACTTGAAAATACAGATTTTGATAGAAAAACTGAAAAGGTATGCCAGAAAAATGAAAAATGAGATCAACCTCGTCAGTAGCATCCTTATATGTAACTGAGGGTTATCTGAGCTGCTGCCATCACAGGGACAGAGTGGAGTTCATGGTGCAGAGTCCACATCTAGGGACAGTCCTTCTAGCAGGGCACTTGGAGAAATGATGATTTGAGTTTGAGTTCGTACAATTTCCTTAATGGCTGGGAGGAAGGAGTGACTGTCCAGCCTAAGTCAGCAAGGATGCTCTACTGGTCAGAGGGAAAGCGATGGAAAAAGAAGAAAATCTTACTTAAATAGGCATGTTGAAATAAGATACAAGGCAGGAGCAATGCCAAAGGGCTGATGTTCTCTCCAGCCAGAGGACACATAAACATGGTCTAATTTAAAAGCAAGGCAGTCATCTCAACATTCATAGGCATTCCTGACTTCCACAATATAGGGATGTGCCTCTGTATTGTGATGGCCACCTAAAAATAATGTTGGAATGGAAATACTATAAAATACAAATAAACTTAAGGGTTCCACTTTGCCTTTCTCCAACTTCTTTTGTTGAATCCTTGCTTGATTCAACCACTCTGTTCAAAGCCCACCATTTTCCAATGTATTCTGGCCAAAAACTCCATTGGGTCCCAGTTGAATGCAGCCAAATGGAATACAGGAAGAGTCTTAAATTCATAGAAATGTGCTCACATAAGATATAAGTAAATTACATCAAGAAAAGAAATAACGTGTCTGGAAAAAAAACTCACATCTTTACTATTACTCTAGATAATCACATTAAAAGAGAGATACAATATAAGAATTCTTTACTGAAGCATTCCATCAATATTTAAGTTAAAGAGAACAATTTCTTTGAGCAAGTACTTTGTAAGAGGAAATTCCCTTACTTTACCCACAAAAAGAGACTTTAAAAAGGCCTTTAATCAGAGCCTTTGAAACAGGAAGGAAAGCAAGATTTTCCTCTTTTTCTTCCTTAATGTTTTTAAAAGGAAACTAGCTATTGAAATATATCAGGCGACTTCCTTTTCTTGAAACACTATTACCCTTCTGTGCATTGTGAGCAAAACAAAAATAAACGCCTTTTATCCACCCAGATTTTGCTGTGGGTAGGCAGCGCCAAGACGAACTAATCATTATGTGGTCAGGGAATCACAGCCTTGGGACTGTGTCGCATCTTACCCACACAATTATTTTTGGGAATGAAATAATACTTTTAGGAGGCATTGGTGTGATTATCTGCCACTGGCTATTTCAGCTGCAGTGGTGAGGAGCAAGAGACAGAGCACAAAAAATGATGAGATGGTTAAAAGAGCACAGAGCTTGCGGAGGGTAGAGCGGCTTGAAATAGAAGGCAGGTGGCTATGAAGAGATCTTGGTCCAGTTAAATGGCAGCTTGACTTCAATGTCAAAATACACAGCCACTGAAAAATCTCTGCAGTCCAACCGGTCCTTATTTCACTTCTGCCAGCTGCTTCATTACCCACTGGGTGCTGGATAATAACATCCATTTTTGTGGAAAGCAACAGTTTTTTGGTCATGGGTGTTGTCTTTATTTCACAGCAGAACACTGCAATTTATGAACAGGAAGCCCATAGAAAATTCTCAGAATGAAGGACTGTATGGTGTGTTACCATTTAACCCCTGTTTTTCACTTCCACTTGGATTTATTAGTGTTCCCAGTTGCAATGTTAAATGATTCTGAAAGTAGAGCAATTAATCCAAAATCCTATTTGTTTTAATCTAACACTGTCAACTAGTTTTAGGTTTGCAGTCAGGAGACAAAAATGTTTGTTAAGCTCTAGAGCACTAGCTAATGTCTAAAGACAATGCTCTGAAAAGGTGCAAAGATGTTTTATCGCAGCACTATAGATGGGACGGAGATTTATTAGAGTACCTAATGCCATTCCAGCAGACGCCTTTTGAATTATAATGAGATTATTAAAACTTTACAAATCATTATATTAAAACCTGACAAGAGTACTTTTGGAACTGGAGCATCTTGATGTCGTTGCTAATGATGCATTACCTGTGATAAGGCTTCAGTAGAATTACTAAGTAAAAAACTGGTTATAAAAGTATAAAATATATTAATATTTATTTCAGTACCTGCTATAAGTTCAAGGATAATAGGTTTATATGCATCAGAACAGTCGAATGATCGTATTTATGTCAGCATTAGAAAGATGTTCATCTGCTGCAAAGTTTAATTAATTTTCACAGATAGTTAATTTTCTGTTTCATTATCAGCTCCCTAAATTTGAAAGACAAATAATTTATAAACAAATAGAAACTTCAGAGAGGAGTATTTTTAGAGCAAACAGAAGATAAATAGCAGGAATGAAGCACTAATACGAATGATATATTGTAGTGGGTTTTGATTGATAACTTATGCATTCTAGAGCACTGACTGAAAAGAAACAAATTGTTTACTGTTAGCCCCAACCCATTTTCAAGTAACAAATGGCTCTGGTCTTTACCAATCAAATAATGGCTGTAATGCCATGAATGAGGAATGTGCAGGCTCACTGTGTCCTCCTATGGGTGACCTGATCCTTTAAGGACAACATTCCTACCCTTTTCCCCTTCCCAGCAAGAAGAAAGTTTAAGCAGCTACTTACCATGATGTACGACGCCCTTCAACCCATGGATAATGGGATCCAGTGCAGAATTGTCCCTCTGACTGACCTACACGCAAAGGATACAGGATTGGTTACATCTATTCTGGCATCAGACAGAACAGTCTCAGCTTAATCTTCTAAAGAGAGGAAAATAAGATGTTATCTAACAAGCTGCTTAGTTCTCACATTTACAATGGCTCCTCACCAAATGCCAAAGATACATGGTGTAATAAAATGAAGCAAGGAAGGTTAAACCAGAAGAAGGCATTTTCTGCATTCATTAAAACATTAGCAACATTATTACCCAGCAAAGCCTAAAAACAGAGATATAGCGTCTCTCTGGCTACTTCTCCTTTCCTAGAAGAAAACTGCTGTGATAAAGAGAAGTTATCCAGGAAGAGTCCACTGGAACAGGAACAAATCTGATGCCACTGCTGGCATCAGTAATGCTGGACCACTCTCCATAAGAGAGCCATAAGAGCCGGGCTCTGACATCATGTTACTACTCATCAACTTGCAACACTGCTGAGGCATTCACATCCAGTAATGCATTTATAAAAATTTTTGTAACTTTTTGCATCTCCAAAGGCTTTGAAGGAATAACCTACAATTTCTGTGAACGTGTCCCATTACCTAAAGTACTTGCTAATTTACTCCTGCAAAGTAAATTCTGTGTGTACCACATTCATGTAGTGCTTCTTTTTTCTTTCTTTTTTTTTTTTCTCCCAGTCAGTATCAAAAACCTGAGCACCACTGACCATTTTTGGGCAGATTGCTCCAAATGAGGAAACAAATCAACTGCAAAAGGGCTCCTGTGCTTTCCTGCTTGCCCGTGATCTCACATCGTGAGGAAAAAGAGAAACTAACAACTTTCTGTCTGGATTTTAACATGTCAAGGAAGGAGTGGAGCTAGAAGAAGAAAACCACGAGAGGAACTTGTGCCCAGCAGGGAACGTGCGCTCTGTGTGAAGCACAGAACTGGCTTGGAGCATGGCTGCAGGACGAGGGCATCGCTGACTGCAGCACATACCAAAATGTGTTACTGTAAAAAGTGTGAGTATGGTTTTTCCCATCCTTTTCCCTCACTGCTAATAATAAATCTTAGAAGTATCATTACCTTTTTAGCCAACTGCATTAAGAAGAAGAAACAAGCAAAAAAAGCCTCAAAATCAACACACCCCAACTTTCTTCTGTTTATTTGGCCTTTGAAATACTCTGCCATGCTCACGACACATTCCTGTGTTCTTGTTTCCAGACAAAAAGGTTTGTTTTCTTTTGGTGTTTTAAATGGAAATTGAAGATCCTTTTCTCATCACAGAACTTCAGTACTCACAACGATAAGGTAGGGCAAGATCTGCAATAAAATTATGAAAGCAGCAGCGGCAGCTTTGAAATATATACAGCTTAGATGTTACTGGCAATAATATTATTAGGCCTGAAGGCTGTAAGCTCTTTGAAGCATGAACTTTTATATGCCCAAAGGGGTGCTCTGTACACTTTGGACTCTGTATAAATAATAATCACAGTACACTGAACCCAATGACCCACTTTGTAGGTTCTGTCTGGCTTCTGGCAAATCAACAGTAAACACTTTAAAAATGCAGAGCTGTTGGAAGACATGTTCTTGCATCTTTTCCATTTATTCAGGTTTCTCCAAGCCGCAGCCACCACTAAAAAAGAAAAAGCAGCAGTGGATCTGAACAATGCTTCATTTATCGCTGTTTAACTGTAAGTTGTACAGAGTTTTATTTTGTTTGCTTTGTTTTTATCTCTCGTGACAGCTACCATCAGTTCAAAGAAAGCAAATGGATGGAAAGAAACCTAAAGGTTAAAATCCTTCCTTTTGGGATTTTCTGTCAAAGCAGATCAATTCGTAACCTCAGCCTTGGCAGCACCCCTTTAATCTGCTGAGGTGGTATGCCTGTATAGATCTAAGCAATCTTATGGATAACATACTCTGCAAATATGTTGTGCTCTCCAATAGCATGAAATCGAGAGTCATGTTACTTCTCTGGGGGTGGGAAAGCATATGCTGCATGCATCTGTATTCATGTTTTCTCTGAGGGGATGGGATCTCACGTTTCTCTAAGACTCCCAGGCAAACAAGTGACACTTGGGGAGACTGCAGTTCAGACTTGCTTGGGATATAATCTTGTTTTCCTTGCAGATGCTTTTCTCCCTTTTTTAACCTTTACTTACACACTGCTCTCCCACATCTCACTACACCCTCTGCAGGATCTTGGCAAGGCCAGGAGAAAAGCGCTAAAAAGTTTTCTTATTTTGTGGAATGGCTCAGGCTTCAGAGCAAAACTTTTCTTACATCTTTTTTCTTTCCTTAAGATCTGAAAAGAACATTCCTTGGATTTCCTTTCCTTTTTCTTTTCTCTTTTTTTTTTTTTTTTGGTTTGCATTTTGCATTTTTCTGTATCTTTTCTTCTATCTGTGTTCATGGAAAAAAAAAAGCAGGTTTTTGAAACCCAGAATGTCAAATTCTATCCCAAGTGCTGTATGACTGTGGTTTAACTGGCCTGGAGCTACCATGCTGGTTGAGATCAGAGATTCACCCCATACAAGAATCCTGTCTCTGAAAACAGCTGAGACATAAAAGAAAGGCGAGGGAAAAAGAAAGAAGGGAAAAAAGAACAAATCTACCACCAACATTTTTTTTTCACATGTAATGTGTTAAGACAGTTTATTTTTTATTATCTTACGAATAGATTCTAAAGGACTGCATGGATTAATGGGACAGATGGAAAACCGTCCTGAAATTGCCCTAAGATACCCCCAGCACCACTACCACTAATGTTGTTTCCTGAAGATGATGCATTCATTCAAAACTAACACTCTATAGGTCTGCAGCAAACAGAATAAATAACAAATTGCTTGCATCATTTGTAATTGAACAATGCCTGTAATCCTCTTCAGCAGAAATAAATAGGTAACTCTCATGCTAAGTGCAAGGGAAAAATAAACACGGGAATATCATTAAGCAGTTTCCTGCGCTAAAAGAGCTCTCCCCACAGGGTGAATATGGGATGAAGATGACACGAGGAAGCCCAGACTCCTTGTTTATCATACCCTTTGGGTGACTCCAATACCTGGTGCACGCGTCATTCTGGTAGAGTGAGCAGCTATTGTTAAAGCAATGAATAAAACAAGCACTTGCAATGTAGGAAAAGGTCGTGTACAAGTGACCCCATTCTGCAGTCATAAAACAGAGACGTTCTTCAAGCAAAGGCACGGTGGAAATCATTACCCTAGACAGGCTGCATTTACTTACAGCTCCTGCACCTAATGCAGGCACTGAAAAATGATTCATTCTTCGGTTAACAACAAGGTTGATCAGTCACGAACTCTATTGACAAGAGCGTTAACACCTTTCATCAGCACAACCTGCTGCCCCCTGCTTGGTGCCCCAAGAGCTGCCAGGGCAGGAGCAGGAGCAGGCCATGAGCTGGGCACTTCCTAACGATAATGAAAGTTCCAGGGAATGCTCAGAGCAAGAGTGTGACAAGAGGACGGGCAGGGGACTGGTGATGCTAGCATGGTGCCAAGCCACAGCATGTGGGAACAGACTTTGCAGGGCAAGATACTACCATAGAAAGCCCCACAGTACTGAGTTCACTGTGAGTTAAAAAGCAAATTAAAAAAACAACCCCAACAACAAACATATGGGAAAAAAACAAAAACAAACACAAAACAAAGAAGCAACAAAGGCAGTTCACATTCTCTATCACTCTTGCCCTGTAAAGTAGCTGATGCTCACCACTCATCTGATGATGTTATGGAACAAACCCAGAATGTACTGAAGTCTCTGATTTCACAAAAAACCTGTGACCACGTGCTATACAATTTGAAACGTGTGCTAAATTTGTAAGTGAACCACAGCCTGTCTTAATGCTGGGAGCAGTTCAATCAAGCAGGAAAAAGAATGTCAGGCAAAAATTTGGAGTTTACAATGACTTAAGGAAAAATAATAAATAAAAATATCAGAGGAACCTCCAACTGAGCACTGAGGCAGTTAAAAGGCCACACAACTACTCCAGATCTAGCTTTACAGACCTCTGTCCAGAGGGAAAGACTCCCTCCAACTCCTCCCATTCCCTATTACTTTGGGAGCCTCTCCAAAACCAGGTTACCCTTCCTCTAAGCAATGCACTGTAGGCCCAGGGAGCAAAGCTCTCTAATGATCACTGGTACCTTGCAAAAAAGTAGGTGAATACTAATAGCTTGAACAGCTCAGAAGTCAGAAATACGCTTTTCTGTTAAACATATACTTAAATGGGTCTACTGGATTGAAGAAAAGAGTCTGGGGGAAAAAAGAACAGAAGAAAAATCTTCCGGTCTGAGTGATACGAAATACAAATTTCTCTCTCATTTCCAACGAAAAAAAAATCTGGCATTTACACTTATTAAACCGTCATAAATTTGCAGCAACTGCTTTCAAGCTCATTAAATGGGCTCACAGACAGTACTGTAAAGCATCTCAAAGCAAAGGAGAACGCCGTAGCTGGCTATATTGAAAGGTGAAATGACATGCATTTTGTGCGAGTCAGGGGAAAATGAATGGCAACAATTTTGTGATACACTACCTGAGCCTTTCCCCTCAGAATAGTGATATAATTTACTTTTCTCTCCCACTGCAACATTTGGCCCTTGACTTGGAAACTAAATCTTCAATCTATCAAGCCTTACCCATCTGCTAAGTAAAATGGCCAAGACGATCTGCATGCCTTGAATTCGATATAGCCAGCTGCTCCCAGAGCGCGGTGGCATTAACATCCAGAGACCATCCTCTGGTGCTGTAAAGGATGGCGTCTGCCAAGGATGAATGACTGCATACTTAACAGTGGCAGCTGAAGCCAGTGACAATGGCTGACACGGAGAGATGCCAATGTGTCAAATTCTACTTTCAATTACAATGGTGAGAGTCAGGGGTAATATTCCCCCTCACCGCATGCCTTCAGCTCCCATTCAGCTCATGGTAAAGATGCACAGTTCACCAGCCAAATACTCGAGTCTCTGAACACGCTGTACAAACAGCTAAGAAAAAAAAAAACAAAACCT